TGCGGGTCGAAACAAGCTCGCTAAGTACGCATGCGTAAGCGTTCCCAAAAGCCCCAGAGCCACAGTGCTCACGAGAGTTTTTAAATCCCTTTAGAGACTCTTGTAGTCTGTTGGTAATCTTGTAAACATTATATACATAAATGTCAAAATGTCAAAAAAGAAAAAAACACTTGGTGGCAAGGGTAAGCTAACTGACACCTTGTTAAAAAAGCTTACAAAATACTACGGCCTCGCAATAATAAGAAATCCAGAATCTGTGGAAAATATGCAAAGAGATATAATGGCCACATATTTGCATAGTATATCGACAGATAAGAAATCAAGACATGAAAATTGTCTATCTGCTGAAGATTCTTGGTGTAAATTTCGACGCGCCGAAAGCCTAGGAGTTCCATACACTCACCCAGAGCCTTTGTATCCAGTTGCAGCTGAGAGTGTATTACCTATATACAAAGACTTATCGAGAAAAGATTTACTTAAAAGATGTTTAGGTGGCTTCACTCAAAATGCCAATGAAAGCTTTAACTCGCTCATTTGGCGACTAGCCCCTAAGCATCTACATTGTGGACGAAAGATTATCGAAATCGCGGCCTATTTAGCAGCAAATATGTTTAATGAAGGTTACTTGTCATTGCTAGGAATCATGTCAGAAGTTGGCATTATAATTGGAACGACCTACAGAAATTTTTCTGATAAAGTTAATCAAAGTAGAGTCACTTCTCATAATCGTCGAAGNTGCTGCACAAAGAACAACAACTACAACAAAATGAACTTTATGAGGAGGTAGAAGGTCTTCTGTATGGTCCAGGGATAGCTGATTGATAATAAAGTTGAGGTAAATAAAAAAAAATAATAGTTTATCAACCTTTTTTCTTGTTCGAAAACTTTAAACGCGTTTATCTCTAAACTATGTTTTTGAAATTGGCGTGCAGTATAACTCAAACAATTTTTGAGATATCAATATGATTTTTTGTTCAATTAAAAATAATTGAATTGTCTTATAGTTATACCGACAATTAGAACTAAAACAATTGTTTATAAAAAGTTATAAACAATATTACTCCCAAAATTTAGGCCAAAAACGAAAATTTAGTTTTAAGTTGAAAATTTTTCAATTGCTTTTTTTTATGTTTCTTCGGTATAACTAGAAACTACATTCATATAGTTGACAAAAAA